GAATTTTACGTTCACTAGTATAAAATATGTCTCAATAACAAGAAAATTTATATTAAATCTAGTAGGTAATCCGTCACGGCTTTGCTCGCGAAATTTGAATAGATTTATAATAAAAAATAATAATTTTTGGCAACAATTTTACTATAAAACTTCTTTATGAACTACATTTGGTGCCAAAATTAATAAACTTGTGGGCGTACTGACTCAGGATTATATCATATAAAATTGTCCATGAGAAAAAGAGTAAAAATGTGAACTAGAGGCTTACAGCTTATAAGTGCTTACTCATCAATGTATATACCTAGGTATAAAATTTAGACTTAAACTTTTGTTTTTTTATTCCAATTTTAACTCCTTAAAATCAAAATTTTGAATAATCCTTTCTTAATGCTTGGTGAAATTATAATATTAATCTACTCTCAAAATTCAAATCGATAGTTCTAATAAGTTCAGCTCTGCGGTGATTATGAATCAGTCGCTCTGGAAAGTCTCGTTTATATATGTATATATGTGTAATTATTAATCATTTTAAAAGTTTGTTCTATGTTTAATCGCTAAATAATGACTCAACATATTGAATTGTGTCAACACCGAATAATACCGTTGAATGCATTTGATACAATTAAATGAAATTGGGTTATGTATCTCGTCTCATAACAAGTTTATAATTATTTAATAGAAAATAGTTGGTTACCTTAATACTTTAGAAGTTAAGAAAGGTAATTTTTTTACACTAATGTCTAGTAGTTTATTTGTGGTTTTTCGTCATTTTTTTTTTACAACTCTTTTTTACATTTTTTTATAATTTAAATTATGTTATTTTGTTTCTATTTTTTTCTATAAATATAGTTTTTTTTCTTACAAATATCATTTATTTCAGACGCGAATAAACTTAAAATATATATATATATATATTTATAGACTTAAGTATTGTATTGTAAATTACAGTTAAATTTTCAAATTTCATCTATATTTATTTAAAACGTCTAATGAAAACACGATTGACATGATTAACTACAAAATTTATATTCTTTAAAAACCATTATTATAATAAAATTATTGAATACCGTTAAAAAGAAATATATAAATATATTTTCTTAAAAAGGATTTGTATCTATTCAGTTGAAAAATATTTAATCATTACATTACCTGGGCCAATTATAGGCACGAAGATCTTTCAGAGACTATAGTAGGGAAGTATTTAAAAGTATTAAAAATAATTTTATGATGTAGGTAGAAATTTTCTCGCATACATATTTAAATGTTTTTTTTTAATTCAATTATCACATACCAATATGAAATACATTTTAAAAGTATTTTTAATTTATCATACCGATCAGTAGTTATTAACAGCAAGTCATAATTGCAGGGGCCGCATTGCTTCATAACATAAGCCCGTGAAATTAATGTTCAGTGTATAAAAAACAGTGGTGGTGACTGATGAATGCGGAATGGCGATTATGGTTTTTGAAAATATACCACGTTACTACAACATAATATATATATATATTATATATATATATATATTAGGTATCTATATATTAGACTCGTCGATTTACTCGTATGTATCATTTATGTTTTACCGCTGTATCTAATCATGATTTGATAATTATATTATATTATATTGTACCTGACGCATTGATTTGACATTTCGAAGCGATAACGATGGCCGGTGAGAGTGAGCCGAGCGGGAGTACTACAACGTGGAATGAGTGCGTTGTCGCTGTCGTAATACCCGGTTGACCAGTTGTTACGACACACGCAATAGACTTAACGCAAATCGTTTATACACTCACTCTATATTACTTTATAACGCAACTCTCTCTGTCGCCACCGTCACCGTCAATACTATAATACCATTTTGTGCATGAACTTTTTGAGATAAAGCGTTTTAATTTCATTATCTCAATTTCGTGATTTGACAAGGTTTTTTCTTCCGTCATCCACTCTACACCTATTCTGTATAATTACAATTTAATAGTCGTGTATATTAAATTCGCGGATTTCGGAGTGCATGCATAACTTTGTGCGGTTGTTGTATAGATCAGCATTTCTTAAAGTTTTTTATCCGTGGAACCTTTTTTGACGTTCGCTTTTATCGTGGAACCCCTACTTTTTTTTGGCTGTTTAGCTTTTTTAGGATTATTTTCAATAAAAGTTATTATTATTTCATGTAATAATAATGTGTTAAAAGTATTTGATTCATAAAACATGTTAAAATGAAATAATAACAATAATACTTAGATTACATTAATTAAACTAAATTATAATTTCAATGAGATAAGTGAAATTGTTTTTTATTATTACAAATATTCTTAATATTAGGTTTTATTGATGAAGTTTGTTCAAATATTTTTTTCCCCCACTATCCGTTTCTAATCTTAAGTTAAATATTTTAAAGTAATTTTTCTCAACATTTTCAAGAAAATTACTTAAGCTCCGTAGAACCTTGAAGTGATCTCCGCGAAACCCCGAGGTTCCGCGGAACACAGTTTAAGAAACGCTGGTATAAATGGTAGATAATTGATTTTGTACTTTCTAGGATAGATCCCTTCGCCTGAATGTAGTTAATAGCCATCTAAAAATTAAAATTACCTATTCTTAATTAATTTTGTTATTTAAGTAAAACATAAGTATAGTTAAAGTACAGCCTACAGCTCTCATGAGCAAAAAAAAAATTATTTATACGTCTTATATTAGCAGTTAAATAAATCGTCTTTTTACATTTTTTAACGAGCAGAAATTGATTTTATTTTTTTACTCTATTTCTTGTTTTTTAATAGGAAGGCTCTAAAAGTTTTATATGCTTAATAAACAATACCCAAAAATTATTTTGGTGAGAAGACGAAAGTCATGAAATAAATACGCTTGGTCATTAAAACTGCATCATTCATAATTTTTATTTTTTTATCTTTTTTAATTTAGAATAAAATAGTATCAGGAACACTTTACCGATTATATATTTATATACTACGTGTTTGCATGTATTTCGGTGTTTTTCGAATAAAAAACAAGCCCTAAACATAATATTTAGTGTTTATTATTGATTATTGATTTATTTTGATTTGTAGTATACTATAATACGTATACACATTTCTGGTAATGGTTGATAATGGTATAATGTGTAACCAATGGATTAAACAAAGAAAACCCTGTAACGGTTGTATATTCCGTAAGCCATACGGAAAATCAGCTTTTTACGAAAAGACTAGGCTTTTTGCAATAGGGTAGCCCGTTTGAGAATTACTTATTATTTTTCCAAACAACCTGTTGTTTTTTATTATATATAGACTAACATCAGTTAGGCCTTTTAAGAACTACAATCATTGTATGGTAATAACCATTTGACTATTGTATAATTAGTTTTATTTTATATTACTAACCATATGTAAGCTGAACTATTATATTACAGTATTATAGGTACATTATTTTCTTTTTGTCTACAACATGGCTAATATTATATTTTGAGTATTTTGAGTGTCTAATGGTCCATGATATACTTTTGGAATATTGACTGAAACATAACTTCCAACTAATAAACTGTATCAATGGTGTATTTATAAAATCATATTAATTGTATACATTTCAAATTTTTGGTATTTAACTACATTAATATATTATAAAGTTGAGATATGGATTGACGACGTTACCTAATATTTGATAGAATCTACGAGATTATGACTAATCAGTAGATTAGATTAAAAGTTTTCATTGTACACATTTTTTTCGTTAAATGAATTATTACCATAAAATGATTGTAGTTCTTTAAAGACCTAACTGATGTTAGTCTGTATGCAATGAGCTTAAAAAACAGCAGACTGTTTCAAAAAATAATAAGTAGTTCGTAAACGGGCTACCCCATTGCAAAAAGCATAGTCTTTTCGTAAGATAACTAATTTTCCATAATATAGCCTACGACATATACATTAACAGGTTTTACAGGTAAATACTGTTATTATTTATTATTATTTTTTATTAAACCGTAAATTAAAGGCGTGCCCAATGTGGAAAGGAAAAAGTTTTAATCAGTTCATTTCACTGAAAAAAAAAAAAAAAATTAAATTATTTCAATATTATTGAAAACCGTTAAAATCAACGTACCTATACATATTTCTTTTGAACCAGGTTAAGTTAGAAATTGGTTACATGCCAAAAGTTATATGACGGCAGTGGAGCTTGATAACGATGTTATTTTTAAACATATCATCCTTGCAAGGATATTTTTATGTTTGCCATTGGTTATTCTTTTCTAATACAACTATCTATAACAATATGGTATAAGATGCATTGATATACGTTATTTCGTAGAAAAACGAGTAAATAATTTATTATAAGTATTTATTATACGACATTTCAAATACTGAATTTAATGAGTTGTCGATAGTATACTACTATATTTTTTTTTTATTTTGCGTGACTCTCCAACTGTAATAAATTCCTAGCAAATTCACCCATAGAATTAACCTGTTGCGATTACTTGATGATTGATGCCTCCCCCTCCCCCATCACCAGTGCACTCTGAACCCAACAATTCCCGAGTCCGTGCCATTTTTTTAAATAATTTATAATATACGTGTAGTAATAATTAATTGGCGGATTCTCTTGTTTCGTAGGACATCGCAGTATGATGTGTACATGCGTACATACACGCCAAATTGCGTAGATACCTACTTTAACTGCACTGCAGTATCTTTGCACTTTAACAGATTATGCGCCGATTGCACTGCAGCGAGTACGTGCAAATATACTTGACAAACTGTTAAACGCTACACAAACGCGTGCGCGCAACTCAATAAATATTACAAGTATTATAAAATACAAGTGTTGACTACAAACCTAACCTATGAATTATTACTATATACGACTGCACGTATATAATATTATAAAATATATATATATACTAGCTAGTTACAAACTAAATAACAATATTATATTACTTTCATTTTTTTTTCTTCTCTCACCGGTCGCCGCCGAACCTCTCGCGCGCACTCGCTTTGCTGCCCGCACATTCACCGTAGTGTACATCACACGCGGCCAACCCATCGACCGTCCGCTACAGTTGCTCGCCCGCGTCCGGCAGATCAGTCAGACAAATTTTTTTTTCCAAAACGCGCTCGCTCGCACTCCCGCACACACGTCGTTCTCGCATGCTTATGTACAAAATATAAGTACGAAATACGCGTATATAATAAGCGCCGGCACTGCTGCTGCTGTTGGGACGTCGTATAATATCTGTCGCGTGTGTGCGTTTGTGTGAGTGTTTGTGTGCACTTTACACGTATACGACAGGTATACGTGTGCATGTGTGTGTGTTTTCGCGAAAATAAACAAAGTAATCAACAGAGTAAAAACTCTGTTTATATTTCAAAGCCGTACTGTGATATACGGCTGCGGCGCTGCTAGTAAAGCGGTGCAACTGCGCAGTCATCGTCTGTAACAGGGTTCGGCGCGACCCGTATACGGTACGAGGGAGACCGGGCCAAGACGCGGTCAACGCGACTGCCAAGTGCAAGTGGCAGAGTCACGCCGGAAAACACAAACGATCGGCTGACAAAAGGTATACTACATCGACATTACTATTACTATTATTATTATTGTAATTATAATATTATCATATTGTATAAATAATTTACCGTCTCGAGTCGACTATTTATGACGTTTCGACGCATTGACCGATTGCAGCGAGTACGGAATTCACCGTGTTTCTCGGTTGATGTACACTTAAACCTGTACGATCAAAGATCGCCGTGGAAACGCACACAAATGTGTATGAAACTTATTTTGATTTCTATACGTGTCAATATAGGTGGACAAAATAGTCAAGTAACGTGCACTGCGCCTATATATTATTATTCTGATATCATCGAACGTATACAATGCATTTTTTGATTGCATTTTTCGTTACGTGCATAGTCGAATAGATGCATTAATGAATTAAACGTGCTTACATGCTTATAAGATTTCGAATCTTATAATCCGAGATAATAATCGGTCGCGCAACGCGCGTGATTTATTTCCGGACCGTACTTCCTGTTCGCCCGTCGGTAAATTTTTTTAAGTTTTACGATAATATCAATACATAATATTATACGTTTTATTAAAATGTATAGATACAGCTGTAAAACCCGTTTAATGCAAGTAAAAGTCCTAGCAATAAATACTATCGTGTGTAACTGCGGGCGCGCGAATAATATAACAACTCGTCGAACGAGACAGAGTATCTACGTAATAAAAACACTATACGGGTGCACGCGCGTATAAGACGACCACACGCATAATAAACACGTCGTGGCGCGAAACTGTTTTTATTATTATTATTATTATTATTATTTGGCGTTACGTGATTCTTATTAAGAATACGAACGAGATGTATCTGTGTATACGTTTGTAACAAATGGCTTTCGGTGACATTTACTAAAAATCTCAAAAAAAATCTCGCGACATCAGTCCATCCCGCCTGTATAACACATCGGACACGATTTAGGTAATAAACGAGTATATACATTTTTTTTTTATTATTATTATTATTTAATATACGAATGTTTATAATCTGTAAAAAACATACATGCAATGCGTACAATAACTACATTTGAGTGAAAGGAATCGGGTAATATTTTCAAATTAAATTTTATTGTAATAAAAGATTGTTAAAAATTATAGACGCGATCAGATGCCTGGTCATGATCATTTTTGAGTAAGCCGATGGCCGCTTCGAAAATCAAAAACATGTATTTGTGTGTCGACTTGAATTTAGCTAAATAAAATGTCATACGACAAATACGTAATATGACGTAACGGAAATGTTATTATGTAAATATGTAAAAAAAAAAACAGAACGAAAACTTGTAGCCGAGATCCAGGCAGTTTTTTTTATGTCTGTGCATTATTATACTATAATTATGCACAGAGACAACGGTGCTCAGCTAACACAGCATCGGGTGTCTGGTTTTTTTTTTTTTTTGTTGAATTTTTGATTTTTCATCTTTCACTTTTATTATATTTTTTATAACCGTCATCGTCGTTTTTCTGGTGCCAATCGCGTTGAAATCATGACGAGTTCGTATTCAGTTATTTTGTGTATTTATGGTTTTATCATTTTTTTTATTAGTCATTTCGCCGTTCCATAGCTCGTCGCTGTCGACTGGTTGCATAATTTCTCTTCGGCAAAAAAGTACACATAACGTGTGCAGTAATCGTAATATTATCGTACACTTATTATCGTTATTTAATAACCGGACCACGGGACTAGTACCATTCGCCGAGTACGCTCACTCTCGGTGTAGGTTGCCGCCGTTGTTGGAACAACAACAAAATGATGACGACGACTATACGTAGGTATAGACTACCTATACGTTATTATAGTGCTGACTTTCACCGGTCCGACGGCCACGGCCCGCGACGTTTCACTCTTTTATTTTAAACAGACGTTATTATAACACATATTACATATTTATATTTGTTATTATTACCTGGCTGTAGTGGGTGGTAAAAAGGGATGTACGGGGACGTGCACACTGACACCGCATGTCTACGTGGTATATGTATAGAATTATTTGTTTTCGTTCACCGTACATGTATAATACTGACGTTATTTCATCAAAAATATGTACACAAGATTTCAAGAAAAAAAATTCACTCGCGTTCATAATATGGTACCTACTCTATACCTCCAATGATTGGCCACTAAATACCGTGTCCCGCGGAGAACTTAACTACATGCCCCGTCGTTATTGCGACGTCGCGCGGTTCGACGATAATCGTGAATACACCGTGTTAGTGTTTTTTCACTATTCTACAGTAGGATGTTATGGCTGTTTTTTACGATATTTACTGCAAATGCAAACGCTTTTATGCTTTTATAAGATGAATTAAAATTGTTAAAAATGAATACGACAAAATCCTATACCACCGAACAGTAGATATATAATCGATTCCTTAAAGAGATGTATGATATTAAGAATTGTGTTCTCATCAAATTTAAACAATGTGCGACTGAATCGTCTGCGCGTTGGACGAAAATAATTATACAACCGATTTAATGTTAAACAACAGCAACTTAAATTTAACCTTACAACCCGTTGTACGGACAAAAAAAAATTTAATTACATTTATTTTCGTATATTTTCTACTTTCTACTCTTATACGTCATGTATACATAATTATTACAACCGAAAGTTTGTATATTATTATTCTTAGTAATAATAGTAGGTAATAAAAATGTTTTCAAAACATTTAAAAATCTCGTTCGGAAGTCCAAATAACGATATCGACTAGGATAATCGTCCGATGTGCGTAATTATAGTGGGTACTATATAACGCGGTACTGGTTGTATATATTGTACATCGTATACCGTCGCTGCAAGTCGACGATAATGATTTCCGCGTGTCAAAAACACTTCGACGATCGGATACAAGCGCCGTAAGAGTACGAAGAGGGAGAAGGGGGGACCCGGAGAGACGGAAGGATGCGTCGTAAAACGCGTGTCTTGTATAATAATAAACACATATATAATATTATGTATATGTAAACGAAATTACGTTGCGGTAATGACGTCGAGCGAGTACGAAGGAGTAGACGACGACGACGACGACGAGAGTGAAAACCGGACAACCGCGGTGGATTCGTTTTGCCGCCGCCGGGCACCGTCGACGAGACTATTATATTGTTATGAACTTATGACATTATCATTGCCACGCGTGTCGTCGTTTCGTGTTTGACTTACGTAATTTCACGCGTAAGCGACCGTGGCGTCGAAAGACGAATAAAACGCGACGGTGGTTAACCCACTGCCCGTTCTAGAACGGATGTGCCGGCGATCGTCGTCGCCGAACAACATGCGCATCTCCACCGGCGAAATGTGAACAGTAAACGCGCCGCCGGTCGCGACCGTGTAATCGAGTCGTGTGTCGCGTTACCGTGGTCGCGGTCGCGCGTTCCATCGTTGCACCGTGGTGGTACGGTTTTTTATTCGAATCGTGCGCGCCGTGCGAATTGCCAATAATTGTTCAAATTTGATTGTCGACATGGTGTGTCGGTTTATCTGTACGCATTAGACGACGGACGTCGTACGAAATTCGACGCCGAGACACGGCGTAGTGCGCGAACCAGGCTTTACGTAACTTTTTTTGCGGCAGGATAACGGCGGCCGGCGCGACGATGGCGCCCGGTGTTGCTCGTCCTTGACCGACCCGACGGCTAGCCGTCCGTTTGCGAACATCACACACACCAAGAGGATGTGTGATGTAGTCGGACGATGTTATAACCATGTATACCTGTACGCTGTATTCGTTTGTCGATTACGTATATCGTGTGGCAGAATCGAACTCTTTGTGTGTGTTGTCTGGGTTGAGATTGTCGTTCAGACAATATTAGGTACATAGTATTTATGTAAAACTGAACGAAGAGTTTCGACGTCTCTATAGTGTCTTCTTACGCGTCTACTCTACTACATTATTATAATTTATTACTCGTAGCCTATGCTGTAGTCACTTATTCGCTTGACAATAATATTATTGACAAACCTGTTACAGAATTATTTCGAAAAGATTGTTCTCTTCGAATTTTGAAATCACGCTAGTAATAAAACTCTGATATTTTATGCTTACTTCATTTGTAGCATAATATATTAATGTAAAACTGTTCTACGGGTATTCGTAGCAAAGCATATTTTTGTGCACTTAAAGATTATTCCTTTTTAGTTTTTCGAGCTGATTTTTAATTTTTGATCACTATTTGCTTAAAGGCGGTAATCTGTCATTGAAACCATCGCTACTCTCGTTTGCATTGGTACCAATCTAAAATTGTATTGTATTTATTAGAGTCGAACTAATGAAAAGATTCTGAATTAACTATAATGGGTTGAAAATAACACAATCTATAAGTCTAGGCTTATATTTTGCATCTGTAGACATTCGTGGTACCTACATATTTTTCACCGTTAACAGAAACTAGTATTAAAATGATATTCAACAATTGAAATATTATAATAATTATTATCCAAAATAAAAACATGTAAGGTATTTTCAGTTTCAATGAATTTAATATGTAAACAATTTGACTATCATTGTTAAATATTCAAATGATACTGTTTGAGAACATTATATCATTATGAAAAGTATTGACGATTTTTATGTTTTATACTTAGACCATTCGATTCGATATAATTTTAGGTTGTCAACGAGACTAAACCTTTTAAACCGTTGTTCTTTCTGTCGTGGTTACCTCTATTGATTCTGACTAGTGTCTGTACAGATTATATCAGAAAAAACTAACAAGTCAACTTGTTTTAATCGATTTTAAATGTATTTTTTTAGCGCCGTTATTAATATTATTATTTTTTAAATATTGTCTATACCAAAAGTTGTTACATAGTTATGATAAATTACAATAGGCAATCGGTACCTTGTATTCTGTGTAATATACTAAACTCGATAGAAAGCGTTAATGGCCACGTAGTTATCTAAATGGAGTATATACAAATAAATGCTACAATTGCAACACGATAATAATAAAGTATACTCGTAATAATAGTAAGCGGTGCAACGACCCGGCCACTG